TTGTAATAAAAATTGAAAATAAGAATTATATTGGAATAATCTTGCTTTACATTGATATATGATTGATTGATTAAAAAGTGTACAATACCCCTACATTTATAGGCCAAATTATCTCTAATCCTATTAATAAAAGGAAATTAAAATAAGGAAACTAAATTCTAAAAGGAAATAAATTAATCCTAATCTAAATAAAATTTAAGAACAAACCTATTACAATTAGAAAATGAAATTAGAAAAGATAATTTAAAAAAGACAAACTCCTATAAAGTGAAACTATCAATTGTAGTTGTGATGTAATACATCACAAACACTGCAAATCGCAAGTGAAATGGTGAAATTGACGTCAATTACATGGTACCTTACTGAAGGATGCAAAAAAAAAAAAAAAATTAACAATTCTGTCTGCAATTAACCAACATTTTAGTTGAAGGCATTGTTGGAGAAGCTGAGGCTGAGGCTAGAACATGAAAATGTTGCACATAGCTAATGCTGGAATAATGTAACTTTTGGTTCCTCTCTTGTTGGTTTGCTTCTCCAATACAGAAAGTAAATGGAGAAGATATTTATAAAATATCAACTGCAACTGTACGGCCGAGGAAAATATATATAAATTAGTCAACAAAGATGACAAGATATTTAGGGAAATTAAAAAGTGACTATCGCAAAACCAAATCAAAAGAGGATAAATGTGAACACTTGTGTAACATAAATGAACAGTGATTCAAGGATTCCCTCTTTCAAGACAGTGATGGATTATTTTTTACTATTATTTTAAAGAAGACAAAAAATCTTTCCTAAATTTTAAAGATAGGCAAATTTGCCTTGCCGCAAAAGAGGCTGTGACAGCTTCAGCCATGCTTAGTATTTATAAGAACCCACACTGTATTTATAAGAAGGGATGTCCTTTTTGCTGTTTAATTTTTTCATTATTTATTTTCATTAGGAATAATAATTAGAATTATTCACTGGAATATTAAAAGAAATTCAATTCAACTGAAAGTGTCAAAATAAAGCTTCGGTCCAGATCCGACTGAGAATTGCCCTAAATTTTCCTGGATCATGGATCGATCCGCAGGCCTTTGCAAATTTTTGCGAGTAGATTAAGATCCGGCCCGTGAACCAGCATGGGCCGATCCTCTAAATTAGGATCGAGCCGAACCAGGTTCTTACATTGGGCTGGCTGGTTCTTTGACACCAATTTAATGTAAAACGATAATCCTAACCGCACTCATGAAATATTCGTAACACGCAGCGCAGCACGGCAGCAGTAACACCTATCCCTAGCTCTCTCTCTCTCCCCACCCCCGACCCACTCTCTTCCTCAGTAAAGCAGTAGACCCGACGGCTGCTCGTAACTAAGCTCTTTCCACAGGTCAGTTCTCTCTCCTATGCATACAGCATGCATAAGGAAATATGTGTGTATCGATATTGGTAAAAAAAATTTGAATATTTTTCGTGCTTTTGATATTTTAGCGAGGTTTTTGAATGAGGGCTTTGGTTACGTTTTTATTTTTCTCGATTTGTTGAGGATTTTGTTTCGATGTTTTAAAATCTGTACTGGGCTTTCGTTTCCATTTTTGGATATTAGGGTAGATTGATTGGTGGAAATGAAAATTTTCTTTTTTATGCGACTAAGCTTAATTAATTAAGCGTGCGAAAGTTTTTTTTTTTTACTTTTTTTTTTAAGATCAGGGAATTAGAAATTTTGGAATAGATAATTTGCTTATTTAATTGGGAATTGGAATTTGGATTTTCATCAGATGCTTGGAAATATACCACGAAAACAAATAAATGCTATTGCTGTAGGGAGAGATTTTTTTTTCTGGGTATAGATATCTTCGCTTCCTTTGTTTCTTTTATTTTTCTTTTTGCAGCATTGAGTGTGCCTTTTCGGCTTGGATTCTTCCTTTTTATTTTTTATTTATGCTGATATTTATGATATTTTTAATTATTTCTCCTCAGTTCACACTTTCTTTTAGTTTTAGTTTTGCTGTTGTGTTCTCTGTGATGAGATTTTGTTTTTTCCCGGAAAGATAATTTATTGTTTATAATGGATTTTTAAGATAGTATGGTTCACACGTTGAGGCTTACACCTCAAAACTTACTTCTTGCCTCGTGAAGGCAAAACAACTCCATACACAAGTCAGCTTTCTTAAAGTTTGAATTGCAACCCTAACTACAACCCGCCACAACTCTGTTGCCACCACCTGCCAACCCTCACCTCGTGCCTGAAAGATAGTTTAAAATCTGTTAAAGAGGTAAGGTTGGGTGGAGGTGGCTGGTGAAGGTGGTACACCGGTTGTTGCCGTGGAGGTTGTTTCTGTGGATAGGGGGTATAAGGAGAAGAATTGAGAGTATGGTTGGAATATTCCATGGTGTTGTAGAAAGAAACTATGTATAGAGAGAAAAAATTGTGTCCATTTAGAAACTCTGTAAATCAAATACCTATTGCACGATTTATCGAAAGACAAAGATGAGGTCATAAAATATGCATAAACAATATATTCTTTTCAGGGAGTGAAGCGAGATAACAATTTTAGTATCAAAGATCAAATGAATTAATCTCTTTTGGTTGATCAATTATATAGGCTTTATTTTGAAGGGGAATTTCAAATTTTCAACAATTTTCATAATTCGGTTTATAATACTTTTCCTTCATAGAAATTTATTTTGAACTGGTTGAAACTGGTTGCTTTTCATCGGCTTTTTTATATCGAACGGTGCATGTAACTTTTCCTTCATAGAATTTTAAAACATTATTGTTACGGTATTGAACATAATGTTATAATTTAAAGGCTTTGATATTTTATGTCCTTAATAACTTGACTCTTAATTTAATTAGTTTTGGAAGTAGCATACTTTTTATCCTCACAATAATAAGCATCTTGCTATTCATTGCAGCCCTATTAAGAGCAGTAAAAAATGTCTAAAAAAGGTTTGATGGAGCAGGACTTAAGCAAGCTGGATGTGACACAACTGCATCCACTCTCGCCTGAGGTTATTTCTCGTCAGGCTACAATTAACATTGGTACACTAACATTAAATTTACTCTAAATGGCTTTCTGCATGCACTCGTTGAGTATTACATCTTTTTCATTTGGTGATATTGATATGAGTTTCTTTATCAACTTGTTGATTGCGTCCTGGTAGATTTATTCATTGAATCAAATTCCATGTTATTTTGATCCTCTAGGTACCATTGGTCATGTGGCTCATGGGAAGTCAACAGTGGTAAAAGCCATATCTGGAGTCCAGGTATAATTGTTTTCTCTAGAATGTTATGCTTATATATTTGAAAGTCAGTACAGAGCACGTTTACCTAGGTTTAAAAAGTTTAATTATAGATAACTAATTAAAATTTTTATTGGTTGAAGTTGAAAGTTATTTATAAATTTCATAATAAGGTAAAGTTTTACTTTTAAAATAAGCAAATTCTTTTAGTAAAGAGAAAAAAAGTAACATGTTTAAACATGGTAGGAAACATCTACTCATTTTTAAGCATAGCAAAACGTGCTCTCAGTGTGATATAAAGGCACCATTGCAACTTTAAATTAATTCTAGTTTCAATTTGTTTAGTGCTTTATAATTTCTTTGTATTGTATACTTAAACAAATGGTGGCCATCGCTTGATCTAAGCCCTTGACATAAATCTTTTAAGAGGCCGCCTTCTTTGAGGCTATACCCTTGTCTATATCATCTTTGAAGGACAACTATTTGAGATAAGCCCTGTTCATGATAACATTTATGTAATAATGCATAACTTTGTTGAAGTGATAACCTACTTTAATGAGTCTTCTGTTTGAGGACGACTTATATTAGTTATTACTTACTCTGAACCTCTAATTAGGGTCTTTTCTAAAAAGCATTCTAACCATGGATACGGTGAGAAAATGCCTTGCTTTTAAATGTTTCGTTTAAAAGACATTGCTATTGTATAAAATGTCTTAAATATCCTTATTGTAGATGGGTTTTTTTTTCCCAATTCATTCAACTAGATTCGTCAACTCAACCTCGGACCGGATTATCGAACACAAATCTCTAGTGTTTTTGTCGTCCTCCGGTGGAACACCCCCCATGCACTTCTTCTTGAATTCTGCACTTTCTATCCCTTGAAATGCTAGCTTTCAGTATTTCAAAAGTATACCTCAACTGGATCTCGCACCTTTTCTTTTTGAAATGGTCTCAAGCATCCGGACATCAATCTCATAACTTCTGCCCATGTTTGAGCTCCATTTTTCCCAAAACTCATTTTTCTTATAACTCATTTTCAACCACATATTATCCCATAAAATAATTTTACACGTAATCGGCCACACTTTTTCCTATTTTTCGGCCACACTTTTTCCTATTTTTCGGCCACACTCTCCAACAAATAACTATTTCAAAACCTATTCCTGCCCCCGGCCCCCCCCCCCCCCCCCCCCCCCCCCC